AGCATCAGGCCAGTTTTATTGTGATTATACGGTGCCTCCGATAGATACGTATTCGTAGCTCGGAGGCAAGCTGATTGACTCTCGTCGATAATTTCCATCCGCCTCTGCGTGGCCGTGGAAGACCTTGCCGTTAAAGGGCCTTGAGAGCGCGCGCATCCCGTCCATCACTCTCTTTTGCGCGCGCGCGCGTCCGGACAAAACCACGATCTCATCGTCCGAACGCATCCGTCGCTTCTTGCTCCAAAAGCGTGTAATATAATTTCGTGAAGCGCGCGCGTTTATTGCGGCGAAATTAATTACTACGTGCCAGATATATCGCGCTCTATTCTTTCGGACCGGTTTATTTCCATTTTATCGCCCGTGCACACCGAGTCACGCAGCATCCACCGCGAATGGCCGCGTGTCGAGAGCCGATGTGCGGCACTCGAGACTACCCTTTGTCCGCTTGTGAGTCGATTCGCCAGTCTATTTATTGGCTAGGCGACCATTTCGACGAGAACACGCGTGAAAACCGCGGCACCGGCCACCGTGAGACGTTGTCGGTGATGTTGCAGATGCGCTTGACGACAGGAGCAAGGAGATTTCTCGGTGGTTGTAGCGATCGACTCGTTGACTCTTTGGGGCATAAAAAGTGTCCTGTCTTTTCGGCACTTGTATACGCGCAGTGGGACGAAAAGCATCCCACTTTGAAATATTAAGATAACTCGAAGCATTCTTTTTCCACGTTTGACAACATATTACACTGCTCAAAAGAATTATGGCATAGATAATTTATTATGCCGAAAATTGGCAATAAATTATCAATTTGGACTGGCGATTATTTCGCGAAAAATTATTGTAGACTAATGATTTTTTTCTTTTTTTTTTTCAAAATGAAGCTTGTAGTCTCTACTTTAAGAATGTATCTCCATTTTTTGCATGCGATGCACCCTTACCCCTGTAACCCCTGACATCTGAGGGCATGTTTGATGTACTGAAAATTGCAAAGTTTGACGGAATGCACGGACGTGGACAATTTTTTTTCGGGGACGCTGTTTGCATCGTTATAAAGTTCAAATCTTCCCTTTCAATTTGAAAAAAAAAAAAAATGGAGTCGCTACAATTTTTTTTCGCAAAGTTACAGCCCTTCAAAAATATAAGTTAAGAAATTTGGCAAGACAACTTGTCAATTTGACCTATCGCAGACTCTGGTTCAAATCTGGAATGACATTTCGCAGGAAGAAATTAGGGCCTGCATTAACATGAGAGACCGGCTGCAAGAAGTGATCCGACAGCGTGGAGGAAACACGAGATATTGAAGACGCACCTACACACACACACACACATACACGCGCGCGCGCGTACCTACGTGCACAGAAGGGAGGGTTTGGAGTCAATAATTACTGTGGAAGTGACGAACCACGGGATCCTTATCTCTTCTGTCACGGACACACACACACATGCGTGAACACTTGGCACGAAGGCCAAAAACAACGATATTTTTGAAGGGCTGTAACTTTGCGAAAAAAAATTGTAGCGACTCCATTTTCTTTCAAATTGAAGGGGAAGATTTCAACTTTATGACGATGCAAATGGCATCCCCGAAAAAAAATTACCCATGTCCGTGCATTCCGTCAAACTTTGCAATTTTCAGTGTACCAAACATGCTTTCAGATGTCAGGGGTTACAGGGGTTACAGGGGTAAGGGTGCATCGCATGCAAAAAATGGAGATACATTCTTAATGTAGAGGCTTCAAGTTTTATTTTGAAAAAAAAAAAATCATTAGTCTACAGTAATTTTTCGCGAAGTAATCGCCAGTCAAAGTTGACCAATTTTTGGCAATACATTTTCTATGCCATAATTCTTTTGAGCAGTGTAATTGTAAGGGCAATGTCGCAGAAAATAAATATAAGGAATGAAATGCAAATTAGTGCGGCATGTGGGAGTATAATAGATATCACTACCTAATCGTTGGACAGATTCGACAAGAATGAGAAACATAACTGAACTGTGAGAGAAATAACTGACTTCGATAAGAGATGGACGATATACAAGCGTGAGATGAATTAAATGCATTTCAGCGTTGTGGAGGATTACTGGCGATCCCCAGTGAGAAAAATACATAAGGCATGATAGTACAATTCAATTCTTAACCATTTTATATCAGAAGGTTGAATTAGTTCTGGTCCCTAGCAATAGATGGTTTTAGTAACAAGTTAATGGTTAATGGTTAATGCGAATGTTGAAATCTGGAACACTGAAAGAAAGGGAAAAAATCTGAAAGAGAAAAAATTACAGCTAACAACGGGAAATATTTTGATTGATGTAAATTTAATCATTCCTTTAAAATAAAGATGAAAAAATTGACAAAATAAGACCAGAATTAATTCAACCTCCTAATATATTGTAATATTTTACTATATAATATACATCGTACGAGAAAAGCTTCATTTCGGCAAGTTAATATACATGGAATCGATCCGGCATTCAATGTATTAAACATCGCGAGTCAGTGGACAAACGTATTCTCCTCTCGAGGACGACGTGCTGCGGCCTCGAAGCGACCAAGGTTATCGGCCCGAAAGATTCGGACAAAATTATCCTCCACGCGATGAAAAAACAACTAGTCTCGGTGAATTTTTTCGCGCAAGCTGCAATCACGTTGAATCGAATAATGATTGCTAGTGATTAACGTTATTTCAACGTTCAGTAAAAATCGAGTCGAATGAACCATTCGACGTAGGAATTTGATGTGAAAATTCAATGAACGGTCAGGCTATTTTCGCAGCAAATGCTAACTGAAGCGTTATCGATGATAATTCTGTGTAGATATTGTTGCTAGCATTTTTTCGCTAGAACAGGGTTTCCCAACCATTTTTGTATTTCGCACCCTTAAAAATTTATTAATGGACCTTCACACCCCCTACAAAGAAAAATTATTCATATTTTTTATGGTGAAAATTAGTTGTTAGGGCTTTGAGATAAGAAGTTAATTTATAATAATTTATTATTACATAGTATTGTTTTATAGAAATTAAATATTATTTTAATATAAAATTATTATCCATGGTATCAAGCTTCGCATAGTAGATACATAATGAATATATACGTACAGATACATAAAAAATATATAATTTTAATAACATTTTTTTAAATTTAATGGTAAAAATGCCGAATTATTCCAGAATTCATCATTATTAATTACAATTACTTTTCCTCGCACCCCCAAGAATGTTGTTTCACACCCCCAGGGGTTGCGAGTATCCCCGGGAACTCCTTTTTCTTTCACTCGATTCATGCAACTCAGATCGAGCCGGTTGAATTCAATTTGAATCGTTTCGGTGAATCTCTTTTTACAACGCTCTTCATTAGAGATTCTCTAGTTAGAATTTCGACATTTCAGTCCTGCTGTTTGATTGGCCTAATTTCCAAAATGATCGAAAATAATAACGGAATGCCATTTAATAGTTGCTCAGGATTTGTTGGTACAATCGTTTCTCAGGATTTGTTGGTACAATTGCTATACAAAATTCTTTGTTTCTTTTAGTTTTACAATTTGATATGTAAATTATAATCTACACACTAATAAAGGTTTTTTGTAGAAGATAGACCTGGGAGTAGACGCCGTTTTCGATCACTTTAGTGGAGAAATGAGAGAAAAAGCAGATAATGTCGGTACTCTAATTAAAAGACAAAGTTGAGCACATAATATACTCAATGTATTTTACGTAGTTTTCTCCATATATTGCACAGCTTTTTTTCAAACACCTTATATATATTCTAAGATTTTTTGTGTGCAGAGGATTGAATGTCGCACAAATTAATAAAAATTACAGAAACGAGTGAATTTACTCGGTATGGACCATAATAAGATTATAAATATTCTAATAAATTGTTGGTTAAGGCATAAGGCTTGAAGCTCAAATTCGCATTGTAGACAACATATAACGCGTTACTTCTTGCGTGCAAGAGTCCTAAGTGTAAAAGGGAACTATAAAAATTATCCAATAATGTAAGTGAAATAAAAATTCAACCGTAGAGTACATTTAAGTAAATGATTATAGACAATAACTTAATTAATAAGAACAAAATACTCACACTAATAACCAACGAGAAAGAAGCTCTTAAACTAATTGTTTGCTATCATAAAATTTTCACAGTTTGATAAAAATAACATATTACTCTAATTAAAAAATGTCATAAATGGCCGTGCACCAGAAGCGAGCAAGTCATTTGCTATTAAAATAAATAACACAGGTCTGAAAAATTTCAAAAACTTTATGCATTTTGGAATTGAAAAGCTATTTCCTACGTAATTTTATCCGCCTAATACGAATCTGGTCTTAGAATTTCTCTATCACGTCAGGTTTTCGAGATAATTCGGTTCAAATAGTCAAAAAATGCCACTTTTTACTATATTTAACCGATTATTGCTGACAAAGTAATTTTTTTTCAACAAACGGCATTTTTTCGCTAACGGCATCTTAATGTACTATTCATCCTCTTTAAATCGTGCAGACCTATGTAATTGTTCATAACTCCGATATTAATTTTTCGACCCATGTTTATTAGGAATTTTCCTTCTCCATTTCAATGAGTACTATCTGCCCTTAAAGTCCTGAACCTTTTTTTTTTTCAAACACCCTGTATAATATGTTTCCCACATTTTACACGTATTATGCAGTTTCTTACATGAAAATGTAAGAAACTATTCCATATGGCCTGATGACTAACCCTGCCAGAGGGTCTCTCTATTACTCTTCATCAGTTTCAAGCGACACCACGTGTTCTCACGTGGTCGGCTGAAACGTGGTGAATGCATGGCAGCGGTGGATCGAAAGCAGGCGAATCTGCAGAACCTGGCGCGCGGACACACGTATCGCGTCTTGAACTCGAGTTACCTCTCATACATTATACATGACCTCCCTCCGTCCCCTCCTTCTCTCCCTCCCGCCTTGCCATATGTTGGTCATTGTATTTTAAGAGCCAATTCTACCGCGCCCTTTTTGCTTCCTTTCAGATCCGCGGGGCGCTCGAAAATTGGGACGGCGGTGCCTTCAAGTCGAGTGAGTATACGCACATGGCAGGCTTCTTAGCCGCGCACGATTATCGATTACGACGCTGGCCTTAACGAGTTTATTATGCCCGTGAGAAAGAGCGAGAGAGAGAGAGAGAGAGTGAGAGAGAGAGAGAGAGAGAGAGAGGGAGGGAGAGAGAGAGAGAGAGAGAGCTTCTCTTCTCCCTTCTCTCTCTCTCTCTCTCTCTCTCGATCTCTCGATCTCTCGATCTCTCGATCTCTCTTCCTCTCTGCACGTCTTAGGAAAACTGGTAAAGTGGACTTATCGAGGCGACCGATGTTCGCCAGCCGCGATAATCCCGCGCGACGGGAATCCTATCTCCGCTGCTTTTTTTTCCTTCTTTACTTCCCATCTCCTCTCCCTTTGCATTTCCTGATGATCGAACGCGACAAACAGCGGAGACGATCGATAGGGGGCGAGTTACGCTATCTGGGGGAATTCATTAATTAAGCGGGTTCCCTCGGTGTGCGCGGTCGCGATTCGCCCGCGATCGAGATATTCGCTATGCCCGATGCGTCCGCGAGTGGCGCGAGTCGAGCGAGCGTGGCGCGAGGGAGCGCAGGGGAGGGGAGGGACAAGCGGCAGGGAGTGAGGAGTCGCGCGCGATCCCGTCCGCGAGGCCGTCCGTCGCTTTCGCACTTTTCTCTCATCTCGCCTGCCTATTACCGTGAAATGACTATCACCGGCCATTTCGAATTTACATTAATAAGATCGGCGATCCTTTATCGTCGACGGCGATGGCGGCGACGGCGGCGCGACGACGTCGATCGTAAATCGGCGCCGGCGCGTACGCGCGCTCCGCGCGCCGCGGAATTTATTCGCGCCACTCGAGAGCGCAGCGGCGTTATCTCGAAACACGATACCGCGCGCATTTTTTCGCGCTCGTGACTCACGAGCGCGCGCGTGCCCCGACTCTTTTTTTCGCGCGCTCGCCTGAGGATATAATTGCACGATGTCAATTCGTAGCGCGCGCGAAGAAGTTAAAGAAAGAGAGAAAGAGAGCAGGGAGGAAGGGAGAAAGAGGCAGCGAGAAAGAAGACCAGCAGCAGCGTGCGTAGTGGACTACCGTAAATTCAAGCGTGGCTCGCGCTGAATCCGCGAATTACACGCTGCTGCTCGTATTTCAGCGGACAGACGCGCGAAAAAATGCGGACGTGTATCAATTGCATCTCTTGCGTGGAAAGGAAGCGGGACGCAGGGAGGAGGGGCACGATGGCGTTTCTCTCTTTTCCTGTCGACCATGTAGAAGCGCGGGAAATGTCTTCGAATGCAGGCGTGCGCGTTGACAATCTCGGGCCGATATTAATTTCTTCCGTAGCAAATGTGTAAAAGGTAACATCTCACCGATATCGTTCATTTTGAAATATGCTATAAAGGATAAACTTCTGAGTAACTTTTTATGATAAATCTGTATGAGGATTACTTGTAGTTTCCGAGATATTCGACTTTTAAAAGGTAAAAATATTAGAAGGTAAAAATGAAGTTTAGAAGACCCTATGTTACATTATATTATTAACACTACAAGGACTTTGACGGCTCCTCTAGAAGGACCATGGACCTAGGAGCCAATTTCGCTGCAAACATATATTTTCATAAATAACAAATAAAAAGAAACGAAACGTACAGGTAATTAAATTTAACGTTTTAACAATAATATCACTAATTTATTGAACAAAAAAAACTGTTAGTTATATTATATTGAATTTTTTTTAGTCTTTGATGAAAGACTAAACGTGAAATACAACGTCGTTATGTACTACAGGAAACGCATTTGTATTACATAGTTTTCTTTGTATATTCATCGCACACAAATTTTTTGCACGAACAACATTTTCCAGCTTTGTGGCTTTTTTGCAGTTTTTTTATTTAACAAAATGGTCATTTGCCTGAAGTAACGTCGGATTCCGTTTCTCCTCCGGTTGAATCAAAATTTTGAGACTTTCTTTGGGCAACATATGAGATACTCAACTCTTCTGCGAGATTTTGTAAAAAGATTCTTCTTAATATTTTTTTACACGTAACTTCCTTGTCCATATAATTCATACATTTATAGCAGCAAAATCCAAAACATTATAAAAAATATAAACTGATCAACGGCGAGATGCTATATCTATATGTACACACATGTATAATATATAATAGTAATGTATATAATAGCTTTTTAAGTGAACAAATAGATACATATAAAATATTTATTTGTCTATTTAAAGTCATAAAACTTGTAAATAAACCCGTGAAACATATGAGAATGCAATATCAGATATAAGGGAGACAAATTGGCTCCAACGGTCCTTCTAGGTAGACAATTAAATAAAAATTTAACTATCTCATATAAATAAAAAATGTTTTTACCAAAATTAAGAACATGAAAAATAATTTTGAAATTGAAAAATTGAAAAGGTTACAAAAGGATATCACATGGAGGCAAAGTTGAGAAAAGTTATAGCAGTTTGAATTTCGCGAGGAGCCAAATTGGTTACCTCGGTCTTTATAACGTTAAGGATACCTTCCTAAGTAGCATTCAAGAGATTTTAGCCGCTGCTCATTGTCGAAAAGTTATTAACAAGAGGAATGTCAATACCTCATCGATTTTATCGCCACTTTAGATACGTTGCAGAAGAAATTGTTCTGTATACTTTCCCGTAAAAATGAAGTGAGGGACGACACTAGTTTAAAAAATATAACAAATTAAAGTTTGAATTAAATGTTAATGCTTTTTTTATGTATCACAAATTACTGAAACTTAGAAACTTAGAAACAGTGAGATTTGAACATGTTTTATTGATTAAATGACTGGATTCATTTAAATTCAGCTTTGCACAAGAGTCTTTGCCTATTTTCATGATATTTTCATTTTTAGTATCTAGTAGACTCATGAATTTGATAAAGCGAAAGGTTTAAGCAAGAATTTAATAAGATCTAAATCAGTTAGAAAAATGTTAAAGAGCATTGATCGGAGATAGATCCTCTAAACTTCATTTTTACCTTCGAATATTTTAAAGTCGAATATCTCAGAAATTACAAGCGACCCCCATACAGACCCCCACATAGATGTATCATAAAAAGTTACTCAGTATTTTTTCCTTTGTGGCAAATTTTAAAATGAAAAATATCGGACAGATATTACCCCCCCTTATGCATATTTATCGAAATGAAGAAGAAAGTTGAGAATAAAATGTGAGGGCAAATATTAAAAACGAAAACTACGAATTGGAATTAGGAATGAATTAAAAAATACAGATGAAAATATAGAAATACTGCTACTAGAATATGCGAGAAAGGAGGAACTTAAAATTACAAGCATCGCGTGAAAAAAGCACGCATCCACACGCATATCGATGTGTTTTTAGGCGAAGCGTTCACGACCAAGGAGAATCTATATGAGGGTCACATGCAGTTTCCGAGATATTCGACTTTAAAATATTAAAAGATGAAAGAATGAAGTTTAGATCTATTTGTGATCAACACTCTTTTTTTATTAATTTATATGTTATTAAATTCTTGCTCAAATATTCCGCCTTATTAAATTCATGAGCATATAAAAGAAATAAAAATATTGTAAATGTTGGCAAAGACCTCTGCGCAAGGTTGAATTTAAAGCCCGAACTTTTCTTTTAATTACGACATATGCAACCTCACTATTTCTACAGCAGCGAATAATACACAAGGAATAGCATTAAAATGTTCAATTAATTTGTTGTATCTTCTAAACTAATGTCATCCTCCGCTTGATTTTTACTGGAAAATATGCAAAACAATTTCCTCTGCAGCACATCTGAGTGGCGATCTAAAATCGGTGGTGTTAAAATTTCTTCCGATAATAACTTTTTAATAAACAACGAGCGGCGGCTAAAATTCTTGAATTTTACTCAGAAGGGTGTCCTTAATAATATATGTAATATAGGTTCTCTAAACTTCATTTTTAATACTTCTGATATTTCACAGTCGAATATCCTAGAAATTACAAGCAACCTATACCAGGGTTTCCCAACCTTTTTCGTACTTCGCACCTCTAAAAATTTATTAATGTATCTTCGCACTCCTTACAAAAAAATTATTCATATGTCTTATAGTAAAAATTAGTTGTTAGGATTTTAAGGTAAGAAGTTAAAAATCAAAAAAGATATTTAATTTTTTATTAAACCATAAAGAGTTCAGTAATGTATTGTAGAATGACATGTAATATTTCTAAATATTTGTCAATCATTAAATAAAATATTCGAAAGAAAAATTTCATAAAATTAGTACATTTAATTTATATTAATTTATTATTACATAGTATTGTTTTTCATAGAAATTAACTATTATTTTAATATTATAAAATTATTATCCATGATATCAAGCTTCGTATAGTGATACGTAATGAATATATATGTACAGAATATATATGTATAGAAAACGATAATCAAAAATATATAATTTTAATAACCTTTTTTTTATTTTGATAGTTTTTTATTTCGATAATAAAAATGCCAAATTATCCTAAAATTCATCTTAATTATTATTAATTATAATCACTTTTCCTCGCACCCCCAAGAATGTTTTTTCACACCCCCAGGGGGGGGGTACTCGCACCCCCGGTTGGAAACCCTTGCCCTATATAGATGTATTGTAAAAAGTTACTTAGAATTTTATCCTTTGTACTATTAAATAATACATTTCCAAAATATCGGTATTAATGCCTTTTATACATGTGCACTTTTTTTGTTAATTCAATCTTGCCTCGCGGAAGTTTCCCTCATCGTAGCGCACATGGTGCCCGCTTCGATACTTTATACTGTTTCGAAGCTCTCTCTCATTTTTGCGTGACTTCGCACTCGCTCGCTTGCTCGCGCGCGCGCGCATCTGCAAGATGCACTGTTCATTACGCAGACAGCAGCATGTAGGGCTGAAGGGGGAAAGAGCGTAAAATCGTGCGCGATGGTAGGACAAGCGTAATCATTTCATACGGAGCCGGCGGAGGGTGATCGCTCTCGGGCGTGAGACTCGATAACGGAATTCGCCGGTTTTCCCGGCGCGGCACACAGACAGATTTTAATTACGACCGACGCCGCGCGCTGCCGACAGGTGACTTATTCCCCGGCACGTTTTGGAGTTCTTACTGGGAATACCTGGAGAGGTACAGCGAGGCGAGGAGGACTCTGGACGAGCTGAAAGCGACCGAGGACCCCCTACTGCACTTTCTCAGAGTCAGGCAGGCAGCAGCGAGGCACTCGCCTTCGTCTTTGCTTCTCCTACCGGTGAGTCTTCAACGGTCACGTCACAAATTATTGTTCGCGAATAATAATAATGATGATGATAACGACAACAGAGATTTAATTAACTTTTATGTGGCATATTCTTTTTTACCCGACGTATTTTTGTGAAATCTTGCATTTCAGTGCTTTTTTGGGTCGCTGATTGCAAATTCGAAGTCATATTTCCAAAATTCAAAATGGTAGATTCAACGTGGCTGCCATATAGTGACAAATTAGAGTAAAACTGAATAAATGTAAATCAGATGCACGACGAAAAGGTTTTTCAGATCGTTAGTTACGAATTTCGTTTACAAAATCCATTCAGACAATTTGTTTATATTATATAAAAAAATCTAGCATGCGGAAAATTCTGGAAAAAGTATATATTATATTTTGATATGTGAGGAATATTCAGTGAAGTGTTCTGCCTCCGATTCTAAATATTTTCCAAGAGATTAAATTTTCTTAAGAATTGTTTTTTCACATTTTTGTTTATAAATAATTAAAAATGGACAATCGGTTAGACATCATGAGGAACGTGTAAAGTAAGTATTAATATTCCTTTTTACTTACAATATTTTCGTTAAACAGTACGTCATGAAAATAGAAGGAAAAAAAGTGGTAAGCATATATATATATATATATATATTACTGCCGCACAAAGAATTAAAATGTGTGAGTATGAATTATTAATAAACTATTAAATGATTAATATATTATATATATTATAATAATTACATATTACATATATATAATAATTAATATATCATAATTGGCAGAATTATTAACAGAGTGTCATCATCATTTTTATTATTATTATTATTGTTATTGCTTATTAAATCTAAATTAAACTAAATTAAATTATTAAATCTGATCGTTGATCGATGGGAATAACGGCAGCCGCTGGCGCAGGCGCCGCTGAAAGACTTTTAGCAACGATTCGGATCGATACTCGACAATTTATTTACACCTGAGTTTTCATTTTTCATTCACTTTTTCATTCATTCTGAGTTTTCATCATTCATTCATACGATAAGAGAGCGGACCGTTTCGCGAGAGAGATCCTATAACGTCGTAAATCATGCAAGTTGCCGTTGCCGAGTTAATCGATGCCAGGCGCGCTGTAACGCACGCCTGCGATTACATTTGTTTAATAAAGACTCGGCCTTGCAAATGATAATTACACGCTCGTTCGCCCGCTCGCGGTTTCAGTCCCGATCTCGCGGATACCGTCGCGTAAGCAAGGTATGCGAGACCAACAAAATATGCGCCGGAAAAGAGATTAGAGAAGCCAGCTGGAAATAGTGAAATGAATCCCGTCGTGGAATTCTTCTCTCCTCATTCTCTCTCCCTCTTCCTCCCTCCCTCCTTCCCTCCCTCTCCCGATCTCTCCCCGGGATACTTCCTCTAATTAATCGTGCCGTCATTAAGCCTAATTACGTCAATTCGTTCCGCGATTCCTTCAAACGCGCCGAGCATTCGCCGTCTCGCCCGTGGCCGGCGCCGCTACCGCCTCGAAGATTACTTAAATTACAGGCGACGAATTTTACGAGTTCGGACCGAATCGCTCGCTGCGATCGCGGGCTCTCTTCTCGCGTCTCTCATTCTTTCCGGCGTTCCTGCGTGCAATTGTGCGCTGCGCTTCCTCAGTGAAAGTCTTATCTCGCGTTGCTGACGTAACGGAACGTAGAGAGAGAAAGAGCGAGAGAGAACGAGAGAGAGAGAGAGAGAGAGCGCCGTCTTCGACTTAACCTTTCGAGATTTTCGATATGCGCGCGCAACCGAAGGCCTTCCGTCAGTCTTCCCGTATTTGCGGGCCGAAATCGCGATTTTACGCCAGGCGTCGCGATAAGAGTAAGAGCGCTTACGAGAAATTAGTCGGGGGAATTAGTCGGACCGAGCGGTCACGCCGCTCGAGAGGAGCCATTTTCTATGATTATTCGAACACAAATATCTCCGAGAACTTTCGTTCTTTTCCTCTCCGAGATGCCGCGGACCGATTACGAGCGCGTGCGTTCGGCCCGAGAGCGCATATCTTCAGTTAACTTCGCCGACGACGGGCGGCTGGTTGTGAAAAAAAAAAACGCAGAGGGGGGCGGCGGAATCCCAACCGCCTCTCGCATCGGTGAGGAGCAACGGGTGTGCGTACATGCGTGTACGTGAAATGAGCTATATGACAGCTTATAACGGGTGTAGCGATCGGGGATGAGGCGTACGTAGGAGGACGGTGCTCCCCCCCTCACCACCCCCACCCCGCGCGTTGAAATTGAGCGCGACTTTACGGCCGCTGAAATATCGACTGGGCTTTTTCGCGAGGCCACGACGAAGCGGTTCTGCTCCTCGAGACTCCCTTCTTATCGCTGATGCGCGCCGGACGCTGATAAGCGGTGCAGTCGTGTTGTTGTTGTTGTTGTTGTTGTTGTTGTTGTTGGGCGCTCGGTTATCTAAATTTGAAATCCAGAAACCGACGCGTCTCTCCGCCGCTTTCTGCCTCCTTCCTCCCGCTCGCCCTCTCTCTCTCTCTCTCTCTCTCTTTCTCTCTCGCAATACCGGCGAGGGAATTATCCTCTTTATCCCAGGGATTTTAATTATTACCTCATGACGAAGTTCCGCAATTATTGATAATAGAATATACCGACCGGCTCTCTCCCGCGCAATTACTCCTTACCGCGGAGTTGCCGGCTCGCTGCGCGGCAATGAGAGAGAATGAGGATTCGCCTCCTGTTTCGCGGAACGTGTTTCCGACCTCTTCCTCCCTCCCTCCCTCGCTGCCTGCTTGCCCTCTCCCCCTCCCCTCTCGCCCTTCGCGTGGCAGATACTTGTAATTGAAAGTGCATTCGCCCGCCACGACGAGATGACAACGACGACGCGAAACGAGCAGCGAGCGAGCGAGCGAGCGCGGTTTACTGGAACGTTACGTTATCAGATCCCGCCGGGGAATGTTAACTATGAAATTTCACCTGACCATTTCTGCACCTGTAACTGCGGTAGGCTAGCGCGTCGGCTGCCTACGCCGTGTAGGTACGCGCGCGTCCGGTAGATTACGCGATGCCTTGTTGCACGTGGGTGTCCACAACGGTCCGCGGTGCCCGTTTGTGTTGTGGCAGGTATATACGAGGTTTATGTCGCGTTGATATATTATTTACTTATCGTCGCTCGCTGGTGAGAGAGAGAGAGAGAGAGAGAGAGAGAGACAGCGGGACGGGGGGAGGAGCCGAGGAATAGCGGGGCGCGCGTATATGAAATTGCGCGTATGGCTACGTCGTTATGAAACGTTGATCTTGATCTCGCGCACCTACGCGCGCGCGTGCAAGTCTCTATGGCGGCTTATTACAGCATTTACAGCTATCCGCTATAACGCATAAATCACACCCGAGTATCTGGGATACTTTTGCGAGAGAGAGAGAGAGAGAGAGAGAGAGAGAGAGAGAGAGAGAGAGAGAGAGAAGGAGAAAATGAAAAACGGCCATTTTTCACGTTGTGACCTATTAACACCCACGCGACCATCTTACGCGATAATTCCTCGTCGCCAGATGTTCGTGAGCGGCGTGATTCGAGGATATCTGGCCTCGGGCTGTATTGTGAGAGGGTGTCTCTCGGTGAGAGGGAGAGAGAAATGCAAGATGCATCGCCGGAAATGGCGATTTCGAGCACGGGGAAGTCGCCGATGTTGCTTGCACCGGCTGCTAAATCGTACCGTCTTCGTGTTTTATGGAATCCGAGGGCTTCCAGCGCCATCTGCATGTTACGCGAGACTTATCTATCGTCATAAAGTTGATAGAGGGAAGTGAGTGTTTATGCACGAGAGCGTCTTGTTAAAAGAAGGTAGTAAAGTTGTCTCGTTAAAAGAAGTAAAAGTTTCCTTTTTTTTTTTTTAGTTTTAGAAGTAAGCTCCATCCACTTTTACACAAGGCACTTCGAGAGTTTCGAAAGGTATATCAATTTAGCTGCTTGTCGCTTTTATGCTACATTAAATTTGATATAACGCACGACTAGTCTCTTAAATCATGCCGCTGTTTGCTTACCTGCATTGTATCACTACAATTTTTTTTCCTACTTTTTGTTCTGTTTCACTTATATCCATCTTGTTATTTAATTGAAAAACCGATTTTTGTTTAATGGTCGTTTACTTCTTAATTAAGTTTTTAAAAACGAAAATGTTTTATTTCTGTAATTTTAATTTCTGGGATGTTCTGCGTAATGAAATTCTGTTAGTTTCTAGTTATGTGGACAAAGAATGATTTTGACTATAAATATATGACTATTTTAAATATATGAAATTTTGATTATAAATATATGACTATAAAGTCAACTTTTATACAAATTAAACTTCATATAAAAATAAATATAATTGTAATAATTATTTTAATAAGTAATTTTAATGTTTGTTTCCTTAATTAAAATTATTTTTAGTTTTTCATACAAGCTGTGATTTTAAGTAATTTCTCAGATAAGTTTCTAGAAATAAAAATATTTTACTTTTATAATTTTAATATTCGTTTTTTAATTAAAAAATATATATTTTTTTAGCTTTTTGTATACATTGTAATTTCAATTAAACATATTTATTTAAATTGCTTGTATTTTATTTCTATCCCTTCTTATTTTTTTAATTAATTACATCAATGTGGTAAAGGAAATAACTAATTACCAAACCACAATTATTGTACAGGTTTTAAAAAAATATGTACTTGCAGAAGATATTGTATAAAAAATCTCCAAAAATTATAGAATGTGACAAACAAATCAAGAATAATTTTCAATTAGTGTTTATCCCATTTTTATTAAGTATTTTCAAATTATAAAAAGAAAATTGAAAACTGGTTCAATATAGACAATATAGACTTCCCTCATCGGTCATGGAGATGCAGTGGTTGCTGCGAAAATATAGTTTCTCACTATAATGATCTCATTATTCGATTGTGCCCGAGTCGAAGTATTGGTTCCACACACCGACGATTCTTACACTTTGATGTCTCATAACAAGGGAACCTCTGAACGAG